TCAGGGACCCCAAGGGAGGGGGACGGGAAGGGAAGGGAAGGGGCCGCGCGAGGGAGCGTCGTGTTTTATTTTTGTTGTGGGATTGGGTGGGGGAGGGAGGGCCGTGGTGTTTTTTGCAGTTTTGAGATGTTTTTCTTTTTAATGTTTTTGCTGTGTGCATGTGGGGGCGGGGGGAGGGAGGGACTCCCAGCCCAGCCCAACTCCTGGAGAGGGGCCCATAACACACAAATATATAGTTCTACCTACAAACTATATATATATGCTCTCTTATAAGGAGACAGGGAAAGAGAAGGGACGCGGGAAGGCGGAGGGATGAGGCCTGGACGTGGACTTTTCCGTGCATGATCCTGCAAGGGTTCATTAAGCACCTACTGTGTACCAGGGCGGCGCTCTGAAGGATATAAACAGGCCTGGAAAGCGACTTGTTCAGACATTGCCAGCAATTTATTCGTGCACTTAAGTGCTAGGCATTGAACCGACGGGGTCCCCTCTGTCCTCATAGGGTTAACAACTTGTGCGTTAATCGAGCAACGGTGTCCACAAACAGTAAATTACAATGAGGACCTAGGAAAAGTCCAAAATGCTACAGTAGGCTCCATCAGGGGGGCTGAAGCCAGTTTAAAAGGAAAGGATATTGTTGCATACAGGGAGATGACAAGCAGCCAGGTGGCGCTGGGGGGGAAGTGTTTCCAGCCAGAGAACAGCATGTGCAAAGGCCCTGGGGCAGAAGGTGCTTCCTTGGAAGGCTAGCGTGTGAGCAGATGGAACAAGATGCGGCTGGAGGGAGGCATCGGCAGGGCCAGACTTCCCAGGGACTCGTAGGTCAGGCCGGGAGTTTAGATTTTCTTCTGAGGGCCGTGGGGAGCCCAGGAGTGAATGGCGCTCGGCGGGAGAGCAACGTAAACGGTGTACAAAGGGGAGGCAGGAGCTCGGAGATGAGAGGCAGAGACACGCTGGAAGTCGGCATCAAACACCTGCGCTGGCTCTGGAAACGCACACTCGTGGGAGCAGAGCAGTTAATGACACACATCCTGACGCACAGGCACAGCGTCTGATGTGCGGGAGAGGCTCTGGGACTTGGGGATCTGTGTCACTCACTCATTCATTCATTCATTCACTCAGCCATTTACTCGTTGCCACTGCGCTGCTGCTAGACAGAGTGCTAGAAGCAGGGTCTCTGGGGGTGAAAACGTGAGGCCGTCAGAAACCACAATCCAGGCAGGGCGGTTGGTGCAGGGACCCCGTTGGGCACCTCGAAAGAGAATGGAGCGACGGGCTGCCAGGAGTGGGCAGCACTTAGGGAAACTTCCTGGGGAAGGTCCCGCCCAGCCAGGGTCTCAAACAGGATGAGTAGTAGTCTGCCCGGGGAGTGCTCCTAATGTGGGGACGCTGAAGGGCAAGGTGGGGGTGCAGAGAGCCCAAGGAGCGGGAGTTCTGGGCTCCGGGGTTGGGGTGTGGGGGGGGGGGGGGGGGGGGGATGTGGGAGAGCTTAGAGCAGGCAGAAGGCAGGATCGGTGTGGGTGCTAGGAGAGGACCCTGGGTGTGGTGGGTGCTGTGGGAGGGTGAGGCAGGAGGGCAGATGAGCTGGGCAAGCGCTGTGGGGGGAGGTGAAGGGGGTTTGAAGGTCACTGAGGACGCAGAAGGGATGGTGCATAGTGGCCTCCCCTCACTGGCTCAGCAGATATTTCCCGAGGTCTCCCAGGTGCCAGGCCTGCTGCTCTGAGATGCTGGGAGGCCCCAGATAACCAGGCCCTGCCCTGCCCTGCCCTCGGGGCTCCTGGTCCTCTGTCTTGATTACACGGAGCAGCAGGAAAAGGTGGGACAGCCCAGCCAGCGTGGCTCAGTGGTTGAGCGCCGACCTATGAACCAGGAGGTCAGGTTCGATTCAGATTAGGGCACATGCCTGTGTTGCCAGCTCGATCCCCAGTAGGGGGAGTGTAGGAGGAAGCCAGTCCATGATTCTCTCTCTCCCTTCCTCTCTGAAATCAATAAAAATATTAATTAAAAAAAGAAAAGGGTGGCCCTAGCTGGTTTGGCTCAATGGATAGAGCGTCGGCCTGCGGACTGAAGGGTCCTGGGTTCGATTCCAGCCAAGGGCACATGCCTGGGTTGCGGGCTCGATCCCCAGTAGGGGGCATGCAGGAGGCAGCCAATCAATGATTCTCTCTCATCATTGATGTTTCTATCTCTCCCTCTCCCTTCCTCTCTAAAATCAATAAAAATATATTTTTTTAAAAAAAGAAGAAAAGGGTGGAACAGAGGAGGACAGGACCAGGGCTGGGGGCTGGGACTTCCCTCGGGGGCCTGTGTGGAAGGACTAGAAAGAGGGAGAGAGACTGGAGGGGGTGTGGGCACCCAGGCAGGCGAGCTGTGGGGAAAGGAATACACTCTAGTGCGACAGGAGGACGTGGTGTAGGGCAGGGGTGGGGGACGTTGGCCTGCGGGCGGTATGAGGCCCGAGAAATCATTTGGTCTGGCCCTGCCAAGGTAACCACAGGCGGGGTTTGAAATTCAATAAATCTAAGAGCTTTGTCCATAGCAACATAAATGTATTAAGTGAATTAGATTAAGTGGATGATGTTATAAATACCCAAATGGCCCTTGGCAGGAAAAAGGTTCCCCACCCTGGACTGTAAAGGGACCGGTCCAAGAGGGACAGGGGGAGGTGGGTTTTGAGACGAGTTTGGTGGGAGAGGGGGCTCTGGTGCAGGAGGGGGCAGAACTGGTTGGGGGTAGTGGACTCTAGGGTCCAAAGGCCAGAGAGCAAGAAAGAGGTGGGGGATGGGTAGGGAGTGGGCAGATGGGGGGAGGAAGGATGAGGAGGAGAGACCCAAACTCCGTGAGTCACAGAGAAAAAGGAAAGAGATCCAGCGAGGGCAGAGAAAGGGGGAGGAGAGACAGACACAAAGATGCACAAATCAGCCCGGCCAGCGTGGCTCAGTGGTCGCGCATCGACCTATGAACCAGGAGGTCAGGGTTCGATTCCCGGTCAGGGCACATGCCCGGGTGGCAGGCTCGATCCCCAGTGTGGGGCGTGCAGGAGGCAGCCGATCGATGATTCTCATCGTTGATGTTTTTATCTCTCTCTTCCCCTCTCACTTCCTCTCTGAAATTAATAAAAAAATAAATAAAAATGCACAGATCACAAGTGAGATGGCTCAGAGACACCAAAAAAAAAAAAAAAGAGAGAGAGAGAGAGAGAGAGAGAGAGAGAGAGAGAGAGAGAGAGAGAGAGAGAGAGAGAGAGAGAGAGAGAGAGACAGAGGTGGCGTCACAGAGAAAGACCCTGAGATCTATCTGCCAGGAGGAAATGTGGAGGCTCAGGCAGGTGTGCCGTGGACTGCGTAGGAACGAGCCGTTTCTTCGGCTGGCTCGTTCCCCGTGTTCAGGAAGTATTCGCGGAGCCCCGTCCTGTTCTAGACTCGGGCGAGGCCCAAGGCACGCGCTGGGCGGTCGTCGGTCAAGGCCCTGCTCTCCTGGGACTCACAGGAGGGGCACATGAGAATGTCAGTCACAGGGAACTGCTTTAAAGCCAAGCAGGACCTGGTGTCGATGGCGGAGCAGGCCCTAGACGAGAACCCCCTGCAGAGGTCCCCTTGGAACAGAGACTGGGGTTGGGAGAAGGGGAGGGACAGGGACAAAGGCAGCACAAAACCCCGGAGGACTCCAGGTTGCTGGGATGCTCCGAGGAGGAGAGCAGGTTAAGGAGGGTGAGGTCAGAACAGGTTGTGGGCCCTTCCTGTAGGGCCTTTTAGCCCCGGGGACAAACCTGATGTCTGGACTCCACGGGCTGATCACAGGCACGACATGATTATATTTAAAAAATAATAAGAATTAAAAAAAAAACCCGGCCCGTGTGGTTCAATGGTTTGAGTGTCAACCTATGAACCAGGAGGTCATGTTTCGATTCCCAGGCGGGGCACATGCCCGGGTGGCGGGCTCGATCCCCAGTGTGGGGCGTGCAGGAGGCGGCCGATCCATGATTCTCTCTCATCATTGATGTTTCTATCTTTTCCTCTCTGAAATCAATTAAAAAACAACAACAACATTAAAACACAAACCAAACAACAACAAAAGAAGAGAACCACGTTGTCATGCTGAGAGTGGATGCCGGCGTGAGTGAAAGGGGCCGTGAGGCGTCAGGGGGCGGCTGTCCTTGTCCAGCGGAGGCTGCTGGTGGCCGGGACCCCTGTGGGGTCGGCGAGGATGGAGAGAAATGGGATCCTCGAGGCAGAACCGATAGTAAATGAACTGGACGCTGCAGAGAGGGTGAGAGACCAGTGAGGGGAGACGGAACCCTTCCCTGGGCGCACACCAGGGGGCCCAGGGCCGGGAGTCAGGAGTGGGGTGGAGATGCCCGTGAGAAACCCAAGTCGGCCTATCGGGTCGCCAGTGGGAAACGTGAGACGGGAGCTGGGGGGCGGGACGTGGCTAGAAATACAAATTTTGGAGAGGTCAGCATCAAGGGGACACTCAGGTCATGAGGCTGGATTAGGTGACGAAGGAGGTGCATGCGGCCAGAGCCGGGGTGGGGGTGGGGCATCCACGTCCGGGTCAGAAGGGGGGAGAGGGGGGACCACGAAGTAGGCAGAGACCAGCTGCCGAGAACAAGGGACACCCCCAAAGCAACCGTTTGGTCTGATAAGAGGTCATGACCACACAAGGCAGCATTCTCAACCTGTGGGTCGTGACCCCTTTGGGGGGTCGAACGACCCTTTCACAGGGGTCGCCTAAGACCATCAGAAAACACATCTATAATTCCATATTGTTTCTGTGATGAATCGCTATGCTTTCATTATGTTCAATTTGTAACAATGAAATTGGGGGTAACCACAACATGAGGAACTGTATTC